CTTGCCTCTAGATCAGCAGTTCTCAACCTGTGGGTCGCGACCCCTTTGGGGGTCGAACGACCCTTTCACAGGAGTAGCCTAAGACCATCGGAAAACACATACATAATTACATATTGTTTTTGTGACTAATCACTATGCTTTCATTATGTTCAAATTGTAACAATGAAAGTACATCCTGCATATCAGATATTTACATGACGATTCATAACAGTAGCAACATTACAGTTATGAAGTAGCAACGGAAATAATTTTATGGTTGGGGGTCCCCACAACATGAGGAACTGTATTAAAGGGTCGCGGCATTAGGAAGGTTGAGAACCACTGCTCTAGAAGATCCATTTGACCAAGTTAGAAAGGAAGCATTTGCGGACCCTCTGTGCGCAGCTCTGGGAGGGGCGGGGGGGCCTCGCCTTCCCCAGGCCCAGCTCGGCCTCGGTGACTGTGGGACCTCAAGCAAGTCCCTTCATTTCATGGGGCTCGGGCTCAGCCACACAGTGGGGACAAGGTCAGACCTCACTGCCTGTTGCAAAGATGTGCCCGACGCAAAGGCGGAGCCCGGGGAAGCAGCGAGAACAGTTCCTGGGACCACTGAGCCCCTGCGGGGGACAGGTGAAAACCCCCAACGCTCCTGCCTCCACCCCATCCGACAGCCCCCTCTGCGCACCTGGGAGGGAAGGCATCAAAGGCTCCTGCTGAGCCCCCCAGTGTGACCCAGGCCGCCCAGCCCTGCCCACACCCCACCGGCTATACAAGAACAACTTTGAGGGCCCCCAGCCCCCACTCTGGGCGGGGGGAGGGGGCAGTGGCTGTGGAGATCTGGGGTGAGTGGGACCAGGTGTCGAATGTCTTCCGTGTGCTGAGCACACACATCCAACCTCTTTAAATCCTAAGGATGATCCTGCAAGGGGTGTTGTCATTCCACCGAGAGCCAAGATCCTGTCCCAAGGCCACAGAGCCAGGTGCCTGCCAGAGAGAGGGGCAGGGCCCCGGCACCCCTGCCAGGCCCAGGCCCTGCCCTGCCCGGAAGCAGCCAAGCCCAGAACCAGGACCCACGCCCCGCCGGCCTGCAGCCACTTCTCGAAGTTTAAAGTCTCAGCAGGTTTAGATTCCTTTTGCAAAATGCCAGGAGTAATTAGGCCAGATGGGCGCGCTGCCTGCCAATTTCCCTCCCTCCCTCACTCACTCCTTTTTCTGAGAAAAATCAAGGCCGTTCTCAGTTAAATGAGAACAAAAAATGCATCCAAAACCCATACATGAACGCGGAGTGTATGCGGAGCTGTTACACTCAGGATTTGTCACCGCTCAGCGCTTCCTCTTCCGCGCGGGCCCCGCCCCCTCCTCTAAGCTGCTCTGCCAAAGGCCGGGCGCCCACGGCACAAGGGGCCGGCTCCCCTGCGCCAGGACAGACACAGGCCCAGAGGTGCCCACGGACACAGGTCCGGAGGTGCCCACGGACACAGGCCCCGGAGGTGCCCACGGACACAGGCCCGGGAGGTGCCCACGGACACAGGCCCGGAGGTGCCCACGGACACAGGCCCCGGAGGTGCCCACGGATACAGGCCCAGGAGGTGCCCACGGACACAGGCCCAGAGGTGCCCACGGACACAGGCCCGGAGGTACCCACGGACACAGGCCCGGAGGTGCCCACGGACACAGGCCCCGGAGGTGCCCACGGACACAGGCCCCAGAGGTGCCCACGGACAAAGACCTGGGAGGCGGCCCACGGACACAGGCTCCCCTGCCAAACTGGGCTGGGGGTGATGGAGGGCACCAAATCCAGAGATGGGGTGTCTGGCCTCCACCCTGGGTGTGGGGGGAGGGCAGCAAGGGAAGCGACAGGGACGGAGACCACAGACTCGGACACAGAGAGCAGGCCAGGCCCGAGTTGTTTTGTTTTTTTGTGGGTTTTTATCCTCACCTGAGGACATTTTTCCATTGATTTTTAGAGAGAGAGGAAGAGAGAGGGAAAGACAGAAAGAAACCCCAATGTGAGAGAAACACATCGACTGGTTGCCTCCTGCACGAGCCCCAACCAGGGCCCGGGCCTGCAACCAAGGTACGTGCCCTTGATCGAAATCGAACCCGGGACCATTTGGTCCACAGGCCAACGCTCTATCCACTGAGCCAGACCGGCCAGGGCCCACGTTTTAACTGAGTCCCCAGGCCTGACTTCTGTCCCTCTGTTCCTTCACCCATTCACTCACTCAGCTGCTCTATTAGGATGGCCGGATGCCATCAACTCCTCAGCACTGGAGTGAGGTCCACAAATAAAGAGGCAGGGCAGGGGCCCGTTCTCGTGGAGCCCCAGATGTTCTCGTGGGAAAAAGACGAGAGAAGCCAAACATCCCAGCAACAAGGCCGGCCGGACCTGGAGCACAGGGCCCGCGAGGAGAGGCCGACCCAGACGCCGCACGTGGGCGAAGGGGCAGGACAGAACCGCCCAGCCAGCAGGTGCCCGGGACACCCCAGAGAGGAGCCAGCTGCACAGTGGCCCCCTGGCACCGATGGGGGGCCCAGGCCTGCCAGGTCAGACACGGAGGGACAGACAGAGCAGTGGGACGTGCCTGTGTGTCTGGGCCAAGCACTAGACTGAGAGCCAGCCCTGCCCCTACGAGCACTGTGTCCCTTCCAGGCCTGGGTGACGTGCTGGGCTCCCGCAGGCGGGTGACCCGGAGCCACAGGCAGAGGGAGCTGTGACTCCCTGAGAGATGGGAGCCCCAGGTGACAGCCGGGGCCATGGCCACGGCCAGCGGGACCTGGCTGCCGGCCTCTGGCCTCCTCTCTCCCACTGACACCACCCAGGCCCTGGAAACCACACTCCACTCTCAGAATGCCCACGCCCCCCTCAAGCCTCCCGCCTGTACCTGGGCTGTTCCCTCTGCCTGCCACACCCTTCCCGGCCCCTGTGGCTGCTGTGTCACCCCAGCTCCCACGGCTTCCACCCCACGGCTCCCATTGAATCAAGGGATTGGCCTCTGACACCTGTGCAACCACCTCTGGAGAGGGCACGGTCACTCCCATCTCCGAGGAGAGGAAACTGGAGCAGAGAGAGGTTAAGTGACTCCCCCAGGGTCACACAGCCCTTGAGAGGTGAAGCCAGGACGTTTTGTCCTAAAGCCTGCTGTAACCTCTATAGAATATAACATTTTAAAGGGGGGTTAGGTATGTGGGAGATGTCGAGGAGGCAGGTTATTAAAAACTTGTGGGCAAGAGATCTAGGCCAGATTCCCTGGTCTGGCGCCCGAGGGCCTCCCATCTGACCCTCCAGACCCTCTACCCCACCCCATCCATCCTCACCTGCACCTTAACCCAGACCCGCCCCAAGCTCCGCTGCCTCCGGGCCTTGCTCACTCCGCTCCCTCCTAGCGGCCGTCCTGGTCTGTGCCTCCCCAGCCTTCTCCAGGCCTGGGTTCCCGCCTGCCCGGCAGACTCGCCCGCCTCCTCGCCTGTCCCTGGCACCGAGCTCCCCACAGCCCTGAGTGCCCGCCGGTGCTTGCCGGGGCCTCACGGGCTGCAGGGAGGGGCACAGAGACCCTGTATGTGGTGAGGACCAGGAGGCGACAGGAGGCACCTCCTGGGCTCAGGAAAGCGGGGGCGGGCTGGCATCTCCCCGCTCTCCCTGAGGAGGCCTTGGCAGGATGAGACCAGGCCCAAAGCTGCCCGCAGCCTCAGGGGGTCAGCACTGGCACCATCCAGGGCAGCCCAGGGGTTCCCCAGACACACTGTGACGGCAGCAGCTCTCCCTGAAGTCCCTGCACCCACACAGGCCCCATGTCCCCCCAAATCGCCCCTCAGCCTCCTGCGTGTGCTGCTCTGGCTGATGGCGCCGTCTCAGGCCCTGATCCCCGCCCTCTGTACCCACGGCTCTTCCTTCCTGGCTCAGATCACCCACCTCTCCAGGGAGCCCCGCGGGATCGGGACCCACTTTCAAGCACAGTGGTCCGTCCCTGCGGTGTCTGGGACCCTCCTCCCCCTCCAGCAGCTGGCACCCTGCAACCATTGCCAGCTGGGCCGCCAAGTGCCAGTCTGTCCACCTGTGGGGCGGGGACAAGAAATCAGTCCCCCAGGCTGAGCAGGATCCGAGACGACGCTCATAGAGACCTTAGCCAGGGCCTGGCTTCCCGTGATCGCTCAGGAACGATTTGCTGCCACCACCCTTATCCCCGTCATCTTAGTCATCACCATCATCATCATCACCATGACCATCACCACCATCATCATCACCATCACTGACATCACCATCATCATCATCACCATGACCATCATCATCATCATCATCACCATGACCATCATCATCAACATCACTGACATCACCATCATCATCATCACTATGACACCCTCACCATGACAATCATCACCAAACCACCACCCTTATCCCCGTCATCTTAGTCATCACCATCATCATCATCACCATGACCATCACCACCATCATCATCACCATCACTGACATCACCATCATCATCATCACCATGACCATCATCATCACCATCACTGACATCATCATCATCATCATCACCATGACATCCTCACCATGACAATCATCACCACCATCACCATCATTGCCATCATCACCATCATCATCACCATCATCATCATCATTGCCATCATCACCATGACCATCATCATCATCACTGACATCACCATCATCATCATCACTATGACATCCTCACCATGACAATCATCACCACCATCACCATCACCATCATCACCATCACCACCATCACCATCACCATCACCATCACTGCCATCATCACCACCCTCACATCATCACCTGGGCTCCCGTGACCCACTGACCATCTCACTGAACAGTCATGACCCATCCTCACCTTGATCCCCACCAGCCAGGTAGCTCAGGGACAAGGCCTGACCACTCTGTGTCCCCAACAGACAACAGGGACTGGGTGTGTACTCGTGACTTCAACAACTGCCCCACTTCCGCACCCCCCCACCCCCCGCCAACTCAGCCTCAGCTCCCTCCGCCCAGCGCGGTGCGCACTCACCACGGGGAGCCGTAGATCCGGAAGCCCCGCACGGTGACCTCCGAGTCCTGCAGGTAGATGCAGTTGGTCAGCAGCGACTGCACGTTCTCGTAGTTCTCCGGCTTCAGCTTCGACACGGACGGGAAGTAATAAAAGTCCTGCTTGATGAGGTCGGCCATGAACTCCTGGTCGAAGGTCAGCTCGTGGTTGCCGGCGATCACGATCTTGTACTCGTAGGGCAGGCTGCCTGCGGGGCGGACACGGGCGACACACGCACGCTGCTGGCCGGCCCGCAGACTCCGTTTGTTTGGCAAAACTTTTGAGTTTGTTGCCAGCATAAAAAATATTCCAGAAGTTCCCAATAAAATGTCATTCTATTTTCTAAAAATCAATCCATTTTAAAATCTGATGATCCTGCCAGCCCCGTGCTGAGTATCTGTGTCTCCATCCCTCCGACGGAGGCAGACATGAGTGTGCCCCAGTCCCCACCTGTCCCTAATGCTCACCCAGGCCACTCCACTCAGGTCAAGGTATCGCCCTGCAGGAACTGCGGTCCCTGAGACATGGCGGGAACAGACCTGGCCATGTCCCCTGGGGCTCCCACACAGGTGATGGAGATCAGCCCTCCAAGCCTCTCCCACCTCCCCACCTTGCCCACCCCATCGGCCTGGCCCAGGGGTGCTGAGCAGCCCGCCCCCCACACAATACAGCCCCAGCAGCCGGAAGTAGCCATGTCTGCTTCACCCATCTCTGTCCCCACAGGTCCCAGCAGGCTGGGCAAACGAGGCCCCGACAGCACCGCAGGGTGACACGGTGCAGGGGACCCAGCCATGGCGATGCTCAGACTGCCCACAGGCAGAGGAGAGATCCGCCCGGGCCTGGGCAGCTGGGGGAGGCACAGAGGACGCAGAGAGAGGACTGCCATTTCCTGAACCCCACTGTCGGGCGGCCACCCCAGGTGAAAGGCTGGGCCCCCCAGAACCTGCCAGGCGGGCGGTCATCTCCGCCTTGCAGCTGGGAACAGGCCCCACGGTCAGGCGCCTGCCCTGGCCCCACAGCAGGTGAGCGGCAAGGCCACACTGGACGTCAGTCCTTGTGACCCCACACACGTGGGTCAGCAGGTCACAGATTCCAAGGCCACCAGGCCCGAGCCAGGGGGACCCCTCACGGAGCCCCTCGCCACGCTGCCGACCGCCTCCAGCTCTGATTCTGTCTCAGTTTCATGGCACCCACGCACCCCACGCCGAGCGCCGCCGGCTGGGGAGCCAGAGCTGCACTAATGCGTTTAAGTCACGTCTCCGACTGGGGGCGTTCCTTAAGCAAATTAGCCAATTACTCCAACTGTACAGTTTCATTTATCTCCGCAGCTCCGTCTCCCGGGGATCGGGGACCGGGGATCGGGGAGTGAGCAGGAAGCTATCAGTGGTCCCCTGTCCCTCCCACCTCAGGAGGGCGTAACTGAGGCTCTTCCCTCCCAGGGAAGGGGAGCAAGGCTCCTGTACACAAAGCTGGGGTGGGGTGGGGGGAGGTGGGAGGCAGGAGCCACAGTACATTCGCATGACACCCTCCGTATTGTCTGGTTTCTCCCAGGAAGGTGGGCGCCACGGGGCTTGGACGCAGGGGATGTGTCTGCTGGTGAACACAGAAACTGCCACCACCATGCCCTCCTGAGCCACAAACATGTCTGCCGAGATGTCCACCTGGACGTGACAGCTCACCCGCTGTGTATAACGTTCACAGACACCAAGTCTGACTATCCCCGTTTTGCATCCGGGAAAACCGGCGCTCAGAGAGGTTGCCCAAGGTTACACAACTCAAACCACGCAGGGCGATGGGCGTTTGATCATCTTTGTGGCTTGGCCTCCTCGAGCTCACCCTGAAGTGGCACTCCAAACCATCAGGTGGACAGACGGGTGATGGGGGGATGGATGGATGCATGGATGTGTGGACGGATGGATGCATGGATGGGTAGATGATGGATGGATGCATGGATGGATGGAGAGATGATGGATGGATGGAGGGTGGATGGATGGAGGGGATGGATGCATGGATAATGGATGGATGGGAGCATAGATGGGTGGATAAAGCGTGAATGGATAGAGAAATTGATGGACAGAGATGTATGGATTATGGATGGATGAATGGAGAGAGAGAGATGGATGCATTTATAAATCAATCAATCCATTACTCCAACTGTACAGTTTCATTACTCCCACCGTACGGCTCTCCGAGCCCCTTCCGCCTCCCCACTCGCCCATCCAGCTGGAGTAATTGATTGACTGGTTTACAAGGAGCTAGTTCTGTCTCCTTTCTACCAACTGACCTCAGTCTCCCTGCACCCCTTCCCTCCCCTCCAGCCGTCTTGGCAGGGCGTGTTTCTCAGACCCTCCTCCCTCACCCCGTAGCCCTGACTGCCCGTCTCTGAATCTTCTCCGTTGGACCTGCTCTCTTGCAGGTGGGGGTAGAGGAGCCAGAACTAAGGCTCTGGTATGGCCTATCACAGCGTGAGGTAAAGAAGTCCCCTCCTCTGTTCTGGGACTGCTACCTCTGTTGTTACGACCAAAGGCTGCGTTAGCCTTCAGGTGCCCACGTGACCCTGCAGCTCTTACCACCCTGACTATAGATATAAAATGCCATCGACCAGTCCTCACAGGCTTCCCGATTAGCTTCACCTTCCCCTCCTGGAATGGGCGGTGAACGAGAGGAGGTTTGGGGGCCTCGATGACTGACTGGCTGGCAGGGGCTTCGTGGGTGAGAGATGAGATGAATTCATGCTCTTCCGCCCGATGCCTGCACACAGGAGACTGTGTCCTCTCTGCCCCTTCCGGCTCCTGCCTTCCCAGCAGCAGGGAAGAGGCTGGCACCCGGGGGCGCTGCCAGTGCCGGATGGGAGCACCCGGATGGGAGCGCCAGCCTGGCAAGGGGCTGGAGGTGCCTGGATTCCAGGACAGGGTGCTCCCTAGGTAGGTGTGAGGAGGGATGAGTGGTGTCAACCCTGGAGGCTAGAACGTACTGCCACGCTGGGGACCAAGGACGGCACAACACGGGAACCAGAGAGACAGCCTGTGTGAGGCCCTGGGATGGACAGGCGGGTGGCGGCTCACGTGAGTGTCTGGGCGGCTCTGCTGGCTCGATGGGGCTCCGAGAGGAGGTGGACGGCTGGGCCCACCTCCCCTCAGCAGCCCCGAGGAAGCGCAGGATCCAGCCAGCCTGTGCCCAGACGCCACCCAGCCACCTTCTCCCCTGGAGCTGGGCCCTGCTGTAAAGGCCCCCCCCCCCCAACCCCCCCCCCCCCCGGTCAGCTGTCCACGCTCTGCGGGCGCACAGCCCTGCTCCAGACCCCGCGAGGCCACTGATCACCAAGACTCAGCCCCGAGGTCAGTACCACGTGGCGCAGAGGTGCCAGCCCTCACCACTCACTGGGCACAGGCGGAAACTGGAGCTCAGAGAGGGGCAGGGACTTGCCTGAACAGCACAGCGGGCGGAGGGACGGGACTTGGCCAGGCCTCCCCCTCGGGCCTGCAGGGCACCAT